TGTCTCCAAATTCGCCCTTTCTCTCTGTTTAACCCTCGCGCTGAGGTGGGTTGGTGCAAACCTAGAGCTTCGCTCCAAAGAGCATCGCACGGGAGCGCTGTCCCCGTCACCCCTGGGGAAAGAGGGCCCCAGGGAGCGGTAAAACCCGAGCTCCCCTGTGCAGCGGCTGCCCGAGTCCCCGCGGGCAGACGGGGAATCCCGCTGGTTTTCCCACCCCGGGATTGCGCCTTAGACCTTGTCCTGTGCTCCCGAGGAGCCCGGGCAGCCTGGCGAAACGGCAGCCTTTGTTCTGCGCCTGGTCCAGCCTTCCCCTTTCCCAATCCCGCTGCCCAGTCGCCAGGCGGCTCCGATCCCCCGTCCCCACGGATCTCCCATCCCCACAGCGCAGCTGCGGCTCCGCGTGCGGCGCCTTCCCAAGGGGACCCTGCTCATCCACACACGGGGCTGGCCTTAAACCTTGGGATCAGCCACACGATCCCTGCCAACGCGCCTGGAGCCGAGCTGGGATGCGCTCAGCACAAGGAGGACGTGCCCAGATTCAGGCTACAGACAAGCAGAGGGCTTAGCTCTCTATTTGTTGCTGTTCTGTATCTAAATTATTTTTTAGCAATCTCTAAAATACACGATGCTGCCATAATCAGGGCAACGCTAGAGACTTTAACTCCTTTAGAATAGGAAGTTATTCGTAAGAGTTGCTGTCTCCCATGGTCTGAGTAACTGAGGCGCGTCAATGTCATGAGGAACTTGGCATCCCTCGTGGGCATCTAGAGCTCCACAAATCAGTCTTATAATCTGATTTGCCCTAAATGTAATTATTTACTAATAAAATCCTTTAGCCAGCTCATGCTCAACAGCTCGGGGATGATGCCTTCTCAGCCCATTTAGGAAAGCTCTGTGCACTGAGTGCTGTGTCCAGGATTTATGAGTTTTTCGTCAATTTGAAAATTGCTGGTAGTAGAGTGCAGCCCTGTGAGATCATGGCAAGAGCTCCAGATGCTTCTGCCTTGCAGAAAATTGCTGCCCTTTGGGAGCATTCACGAGGCAGCCCAAATTTAGGGCGATTTAAGCAGGAAGCTCACGAGAGAGATTCTGAAATAAAGCCAAGGTTTTAGGGGGCTCTTTTTGCACAGATAACCAACTGTTCCCAGGCTGACCTGGATTGCTCAGGTTTTCTCTGCCGTGGCACCTTTGGGGATGTCGTGTTGAGGAAGCTGCTGAAAGTCTGACTTTGGAATTGAGGTCTGGGCCCGGATTGCAGTGCGTAGGTGCACCATGACTTCAGCAAAATGATTTTTTTTCAGGCAGGCTCTCAAAACGACGGGTCATTGAACGGCAGCGGGAGCCCTCTCCTGTGCCGGCCTTTTCCGAAGGGTGCAAGTTGCTCGGCTCGCATTCCGAGGAGTCCTGCGCTGAAGCTAAGGCATCTTGCTTAAAGATAACGTTTCGAGGTTGTCCAAAGTACCTGTGTGGTTCTAGCAACATTTTAGTATTTCTGAAGAAAATCAGCATTGTTTAGGAGCAAGATGAAGGGCACCACAGTGACGTAATCCGAGTTCTTGAACAATGGACTGTGGGATCAAAGGGAGGAAAGGGGCTGCTTTTAGGGTCTGTTATGCAGCACCCTGAATAGAAACTGAAGGCCGGGCTTTCTTGCACCTTGGAATATGATCCTTGTTTCCTCACTTGTGTGCTTTGGGGTTGGCAGGGCCTTCCCTTTCCACAGGAGCAAGAAAACCCCTTTTCCTTGCTTTGATTTATGCCCTTCATCTGTTGTGGAGGCGGGGAGATGCTGGTGCTCTGAAAGGCACAGTCCTCTCTGTGTATTTGCACCGGGAGGATGGGAGGCATCCGCTGATGTCAGTGTTAGCCAGGCGTATTTTTTCCACATTTGTGTGTGATTCTTAGCAAGCTATTTTCATTTCATGGAGGAACTGCCCTTGCAAAGAGCAGGCTTTTCCATCCCTGAGCTTCCAGTGCTCCATCTGGATGTGCAGGCTCCGTCTCCGCTGGCGGATCTCCACGCTGCCAGTTAATTGGTGCTCGTGTTGATGCAGCCCTTCACCTCCCCAGGCGTGGAGGAAGGATGGAGGGGGATGCTGAGGTTCAGAGCAAGGCGGAGGGTGGTAGAGTCAACCCGTGGAGGGAGGAAACTGTGAGCAATTGGATTTGGACCAACCCTTGCAAAGGAGGGAGCAGCTTGAGGAGTGGAAGGAATCCTCAAAAGAATCTACTGCCGACTGTGCTGATTCTTGTGCAAGGTGCATTTAACCTGTCTGTATTCCTGGGAGGAAAACAAGGCTCTGTGGGAAGGGCAGATGGATGCACAGTGGCCTCACTGCAGTAACTTGCCAAGGAGCCAAAGAGCGGGATTAGAGATGGGCTGAGGTCACAGGGGTGATGAGAAACTGCATGTAACCAAAGTATTCAAATGCCCTGAAGCTTTCTCAGCGTGGAGCTAAGGCTCTTCTGAAATGGAGGAGAAATCTCTGTGTTTCCAAGCGTGTGTCCTGGCCCCCAAAGGAGCCATAACTGCTGCTTTAAACTCGTTGCCAGATGTTGCAGGCTGAGGGATATGCTAACAGCGTTTTACCATTGCATTTTTAAATGCATTTTCTGCTAATAATGCCAACACTCCGAGCTGCTGATCCTGGCCTGCCTGTCACCGCTGTGGCTCTGCCTCCTCCCTCTTCTCTCCCGAGTTGCTGCTGTCTGTACCATTTTTCCTAGCTCATCCCAGGCTTTCTCCTCTCTCCTCACCCCCGTGCAGAGCTGCCTGCACATGGATCCGGGTGTAGAAGCTGGAGGGTGGGGGGTGTTTTCCAGGAGGAATTGAGAGGGTGGCGTTGGGATTAGACTGGCCAAATTCTCCTGCTTCCACTGCTGGCTGAATTCATCCAGGAATGATGGGTCCCTGGTTCCCCTCCTGTGAAATCAAATCGGCAAGGGAGTGGTGACACGGGAGAGGTGGAGCTCTGATTTCCTCTCCATGCCCCTATTCCTCCCCATCAACTCTATTAATTCGGGAGCGTGGGATCACTGTTGTCACAACTGTAAGGTAATACTGCCGGTATCGGCGTTGTGAATGAAGAGGCTGGTGCCTCTGCAGGCGCAGCACGAGGTTTAACGTGTTGAGGAGAAGCTCGGGCTCAGGCCAGGAGTAGCACTAGGGCTGCTGAGCCTCCTCCTCGGGCAGCAGCAGTGTTACCAACCCCCTTTACCTACCCCTTAGGATTTCTTCTGAGACTTTGCAATCACTGCCCCACACGAAGTCCTGGGAAGCACCGCCACACGTGGCGCCAGACTGCTGACATTCCCCGTGGCGAGCAGGTAACCTTCTGCTGCACCTCTGACACGGCTTTAAAAACCCAGCACTGAAATGAGGCACGCTTAATCCCTCAAGGTACCCGTGCGCTGCTTCGTATCAGTAAGTGCCCTGGCAAACTGCTGCCGCTCCTCGGGGGGTTCGGCGCGTCCCGCTTTGCGCGCCCGTTGTGCCGGGATGCGGACGGGGAGCGCTGGAATGCAGCTCCCGAGGACACGCGGGGTTTGTCCGCAGGGCCGAGGGGACCGCTCGGTCACCTGCGCCCCCCTGGACAGCCACAGCTGCAGAGCTCGATGTTGTTCTGCTGGGGTAGGGCTTTTTCCTCCTCATTTCTTCTGGATTCCTTCTGCAGACTTGGTGATGGTGAATCCAGGGCTTCTCTCGGCAAATGGTTAATGATCCGTTGTCCTCGCGGAGCAATTCCCAGATGTTGTTGCTACTCTTGGAGGGGGCAGGATGGATTTTGCTGTGTGGTTGGTGTGAAATGCAACTCCCCGGTCCTCAGAGGCTTACATTCCATTGCTTTCTGTGCTTTGGCAAGAGAGATGCCTCTGGCTAGTTTAATTTTGCATTAAGAAAGATGGAGGGCGTCTGTAGTCTTAGGATGTGCATAGCAAGTAGTTTTTGTTCATATGCAGAATGCGTTTTCAGAAACTTACTGTGTTTGCAGAAGCAAACTGTTTGAGATGGAATCTCACTGCACTAGCGGGTCTAAAGCGTAAGGCCAACAGTGGTAGGGCCAACAGTGCAATCATTAGTTTCCCAAGCTTTGTTTCTCTGATGTATTATTACAGGAACAATTAAAAACCTGTAAGTAAAACTAAGCAAAGAGGACAGCTCTTTTGCTTATTTTATACATTCGTTGATTCTTGAACCTGCTTTTGCTTTTGTATAGCATCTTCAGCAAAAAAAATCTTTTTAAAGCAAAAATCAAGCTATCCTTCTGCAAGGCTGCCAATTTTTTTTCTTGATTTAGGAGTCATGGTAACGTTTGTAAGGGAGCCAAGGTGCTGTTGCAAGTAGAACTACAAAATTCATTTTTCATAATTATGCACCATAATCTTCAAGTTCTATAGTTAGATTTCTAAACTACAAACCAGTTTGTATTAGCTTGACTATAATTGATAATTTAAAATATTGATCACGCAGTGTGTTTTGTTAGGTTATTTCATTGCCCATCTAGTTGCTCGACTTCCTTGCAGTCTGCATCATTCCCAGTCTGCCAGTCCTGCTTTTAAAGCACAGTAGGTTGGGTTTGCCTGTCCAGGCAGAACTTATGGCAACCTGTTATTCCTATTTGCTTGGATTATGCGAACACAGTATTAGGAGGATAACATTTCAAATATCTGATGTGCCAGTCTTCCAAAATCGTAAGCATGGAAATGAAAGCGTAATCTAAAGTATGTAGTTTCTTACATGGACTGAAATCACAGGAAAAAGTAAAAAACAAGATATTGCAGCTGTCCTATTCAAAACATGGTAAATAACGACAGTCTTCAGTTTCATTTCTGCCTTGCAGCTTTAATCCAGTTATGTGTGTAATCTTCTGAAAGTCACTCTCTCTCTCCCCTCCACCCCCTGAGATGTGAGAAGTTGTATTTAGAGCATTTTGACTCAGAGAGAAGATATTTATAGTTCTTGGGTTTGCTGATGAAATTGCATAATTTAAGGAAGGGTCATGCTCCTCACCTGATAGTCATCTGTAAATAGGTTGTGATGGCTGCGCGTAGCGTGACAAAACTCCAGACTGGACCAAGGACTGCCCAGAGGTTCCTCAGGAATTTGGGATTAACAGCGATGCGTTAGCTCCGTGTTGGGAGAACCGGTTGTCTTGCTGTTACCATTGAGTAAACACTGTACACGGCTGGGCAGATGTGGGAAGGAAAAGGCAGGCAGCAGTGAGCGTATTATCAAAACAGTGGGGCTTGGTGTTTGTCTTATTAAAATAGGACATTTAAACCCCTGGCAATAACGAACTAGCTGGGAGAGCCTGTGCTAGAAATGCCCTCTTAGAGGATGGTCGTTTGGGTCTTTCTTTATAGGATGCCAGTCTGCTGCCATCCCTCACCGACATCTTCTTGCCCCGGTTGAGGAAGTGTCTCTAGTTGTTAAAATAGCGCATCAACGTGTGTTGTAAAAATTTGCCTGATTAGCAGATAATTACTGCACTGAAGTGAGTGTTTATGTGCTTGGGGCTGGTTCCTTTGTAGGAGGAGGAAGGCACAGTGCAAATGATGTACAGAACTACACTTCAGGTCTCCTCTTCAATCTGCCAAAGCTTTTTCATAGGGCATTTTCTGCTATTCTTTCCTATTGCTGTTCATTAGCTTGGTTTGGGGTTTCTGGAACCCTAGATTCGAAGGGAGGGAGGAACAAGCTGGGTTAGTACTAAAAAGGCAGTGTGTCTATCCAGATTCTATTGCTGCAGTTATAAATGCTCCTGTGTTCACAGAGAATAAGGGTGGTATATCCTGTCATGATTCCAACTCTAAAATGTTGCTTGTTTGAGGAATATAAGCAGCCCTATTTTTATCTTGTTTAGAAATTGAAAAAATTCAGAAGGGTGAAACAACAAAGAAGGACGAGGAAGAGAACTACCTGGATTTGTTTTCCCACAAGAATATGAAACTGAAAGAACGAGTTCTGATACCTGTCAAACAGTACCCCAAGGTGAGGGCCAGAAACCAGCTTACCAAATCTCTGATTTGCTCCTTATTTTTTAAGGGTTTTTATGGTGGACTGTCAGTGATAGTAGCTGTGAAAGTGAAGTGTCATGGGGAGTTCTGCCAGTGTTCCACTATCGCTGTGGAATTTTTCCTGTGTGAGCTTGCAAGATCTTATTTCTAATATTTTGCATTTCTAGGATGTCTTGGGATAAAGCTTAATGGTGATGCATCATCATTTTGATCTTTCCTTGCTGGAACAGGCTTTCATCTGTGGATTGTTTTACATGTAAAAAGACCGGAGAACAGAAATTAGAATGAAGTTTTTTACATACATTAATTTATCTTGATTTTTTTCTTTTTCTGGTGGAGTATATTTTTTCATGCAAAGAATGTTCTGAAACTTAAATTTTGCTGTGTAAAGTTTGGTCTGAATTTTTCTGAGGTGAAAAAGACCTGGCTAAACTTTCTATCAGCCAGCATTGCATTAAGAGCAGCTTTTGGTAAGGCCACATTTTAGCTTTGAAGCTAACATAGCTTTTTCCTTGTTTTTCTTTACAGTTCAACTTTGTTGGAAAAATTTTGGGGCCTCAAGGCAACACCATCAAGAGACTTCAGGAAGAAACCGGTGCTAAGATATCTGTGCTTGGGAAGGGTTCAATGCGAGATAAAGCAAAGGTAAGGGCAGCACCCTTTAAAACGTGCATATATATTAATGCTTTTCACATTGCCGTGAGAAGTAGAGATTCTTAAAGCATTCTGCAGAAGATGAAACCTTTAAAATGTAAAAGCGAAGGCAGTAGGAAGTCACCACCCCTAAGTTGTCCTGGTGTGTCAGGAGTGATGTTGTTTGGGCTAGAAGTGATAACTGTTCTTTGTTAGCATGGCTTACAGAGGCCAGTCCTTTTTGGCAGCCAGTGCCATGTGTAAGGTGAGCTACAAGTTTTTAAAGTAAAAAATAATTCAAACTGGTGAAAGGTCATTTGCTAAAGTAATGTTTCCCCTCTAGAAACAAGCAGTTCCCTTTCCCAGTTGTCCCTTCTGAAATCCTGAGATTGCCATGGTTCGCTGAAGATGTCAAAGCAATATGTTCCCAGTAATCTTTAGTGAATCATGAAGTGCCAGGAGGTTTTTGAGCAGAAGAAATGGATTTTTTTTCCCTGCTTGTTCCTAAAACTGAGCTAACAAACAGTCAACAGAGCTGTAACTTAATTTAGCTTTTACTTTAGCAGCATCAGAAGCTTTTAAATTTTTCATTTATTTCTACCTTCTTAAAGTAAGATGAATGAATGCAAGTATCTAAGAGCAGAGCTGAAGAGGAGGATGCTTGTTTGAGGCATTAGACATTACTTTTTTGCTGTAAAGCAGTGCCCTGGGCAAGAAGGTGGTATAGAAGAGGAGAACATTATTTGTGTGTGCTTAATCTCATGGAAAGGGTGCCTGACATCAAGGCACTAATGAAAGTATCTCAATCATCCAACAAGGCAGATATGAAAAGCTGCGAGATGGAGATTTGCAGGGTTTTTATAAAACTGCATACTTATGTGCTTAGCCTGTTGCTATGCTCAGTGCCCAGTCATTGCCAAAAAAACTCTTAGAAGACATTTTCTGCTAGTTTTTTAGGAAACCTTTAAAACTAAAAACAGCTTCTCCGTCTTACTCAGTTTTAGGACTCTCATCTGCTTTGTTTCAGGAGGAGGAACTGCGTAAAGGTGGGGATCCTAAATATGCTCATCTAAATATGGATTTGCATGTCTTCATTGAAGTTTTTGGACCCCCATGTGAAGCTTACGCTCTAATGGCTCATGCCATGGAGGAAGTCAAGAAGTTCCTCGTTCCAGTATGTAAAATGCTGCTCTTTTCTCGTTGAGGGAGGGAGGTGGGTTATGAATCTGGCTGCAAGCTGGGGTGAGATTTGCACAGCGCAAGGCTCGTGTTTCAGAAAGGATGTAGCTCAGGAAGGCTGCAGCAGCGAGCGTGGCAGCTTAAAGTGATCCCAACAATCTTGCTTGAAGGCGCTTATTAACCCTGTGCCAATAATTTGGGATTTTTCAAGGTAAAACTCTCATTGTATAGAGCACTTAAGGAGCAGGTGTTTCTTCCCCGTTGCTGGCCACAGACACTGAGGCAGGTGGGTAGCATGTCTAGCTCCCTGTCACACTTCTAGCAGGAGAATATTTTTAGCTGTGCCTGGCATGGAAGATGACTTCTTGATTGCTTCCTCTCAGTTGGAATTGCTGCATGGAATTGCTAGGGAATTTTATTGGTCAGATCAGAAACTGGAACTGTGCAGAGAGAGCTCAGAGGAAGGGGAGGACGAGTGCCCAGGCCTCACTACCAATGCTCAGTGCTGCACTGAATTTCTGGGGCACATCTGTTAAATCAGTATTTTTGCTGCTTTAGACATGTATGATGTGAAGCAGCTTTGGGGCACTTATGGAGATGGCATTACTTACCTATCTGGGGACGTGTTTTACCGTCAAGCTTGCAACATCTTTACCAGTAAATGTGCAGTAGCTCTAGAATATCGTGTCTTACAAACTGCAGAGTAGGAGTGTTACTAAAATGATAGTGTAGCTCGCTAACTTGGGGAAAAAAGAACGAAATGGGGAGGATGAAATGCTTCTAGCGAGCTCAGCCTGTAGTTCTCTGGTCCCAGAAGCAGCTGGTACAGGGGTGGATATATCCGAGCACCGCAGCCCTTTGAGCTCAGCTGCCCCTAGCGAGCTCGGAGGCTCTGCCTGGAATGTGAGGGGCATCTGGGAGCCGAAAGCAGTCGGTAGCGGGGAGGTGGGAAAAGCCTATGGAGCCGGGATGATTTGTGCCAGTCTGCAGTGCTGGGTTTGTGCAGTGCCTTGGGAGGCAAGGGGTCATCTTCGAGGAGCCGCCGGGATGTGCGGAACCTCGGCACGCCAAGGCGAGCGTGCAACTTGCTATTTAAAGCCTCCTTATCCATCGCTGCCTTCAAACAAAGTGTCAAACTCGCGAAAATCGGCAGGGAAGGCGCCGCGGAAGCCAGCAGTGCCGCGAAGACGCGTCTGCTCCGAGCGCGGGCGCTTTGCGGAGTTGCCATAGCAGCGCCAAGATCCCCCGCGACGAGAGCGCGCGTGCCCGGAGGGAAGGGCTGGGGTGCAGCGACTTCTGCGGGGTTACCGGGGATTTGTGCTAATTCCTCAAGCTACATCCCCTGGGGGAATAAAAATGCACGGAGCAGAAACATGCTGCGCTCTTCAGAATGTGAAAAGGCCGCCCGGATTTGCAAATTGGTATTTACTCTCCATCCGGCTGCCTTCTGTCCTGTCCCTCGGCGAGCGCAGCGGTGTCGGTGCCGCTGCACCGGCTCGCTGCCGGCCAGGTGCCCTTGCAGGGGAGCCCCAGGTGCTCGGGGTGGGATGTCTCACCCGACTTGGCCTCTGAACTCACCAGCTTTAGCTGATCAATCCTGCTGACATCGCTGGACACCAGGCATCAGATGCTGCAGTGTCCCTGGGAGCGAGATCTCAGCAAAATCAGTAGATTTAGGGCTGTTGGGTAGTTTTTATTGCGGCGCGATAGCCTTGGAGCTCTTGGAGCGCAGCCTGGCTAGCTGTTTGGAGCTGACTCCTTTTCCCTTCCAGGATATGATGGACGATATCTGTCAGGAGCAATTCTTGGAGCTCTCCTATCTGAACGGCGTGCCGGAGCCAAGCCGCGGGCGAGGAGTCCCTGTGCGGGGAAGGGGAGCAGCTCCGCCGCCGCCTCCACCCGTTCCCAGGTATCTTTCCCCAAAACACAGACCTGGAAACGCCGCATCCTGCTCGGAGTTGCACCGAGAGGGGAGGTTAAGCTACTCGTTCTTGCACGTCAGCTGTTGGCCTTGAACGCTGGCTTTTGGCCAGGGCTTTTTGGCCGCTGTGTTGAAGGGCTTGCTTTTAGCAAATGGGCATCAACTGGTTTTTATGTTCTGTGATTCGGCGATGTAACTCAGCTTAATGAAAGTCTGTGTTCTTGGCATCAGAAATTAGGAGCTTTATTAAGTAACCTTGCAAATATTGGAAGAATGGATAGATGGTGAAATAGAAGCTTGGCCTGTGAAATCACATGCAGGGTTTGTTTCAGTAGCCTTCAGCAGAATAAGCGTTTTCAATTTAAAATGACCTTTATTTGAAAGTCATAGGACGCCGTTATTCTGTCATTGTTGTCAAGACTTTGGGCTAAATTGGTGGTAAATCTGTTCCTGTAGTTCTTGCTTCACACATAGTTCATGGAGGGAGAACTCTTGAATGTTTAAGGGCTCCCTGTTTATCTTTACTCTTTGCAGATCTACCTGCCCTTGCTAATTAGCGATAGAAAGTTGTTTAAAACGAACTCGGAACCAATTTGGCCGCAGTTCTGCAGTGCCAGGAGCTGGTGGCAGGCTCCACTGATTAGCTTCATCTCTCCATCTGTACATGTAATGCAGCAGGATGCAAGATGAGCTTTCTCAGATCCTACCATGCCGCACTATTAACAATCCGTGGCCTTTCCTTGATGAGGAAATCGTGGCTTGGTCTGTGCTAGCTGCACTTAGCGAGTAGTTACCGAGTCTCG